AATCCTGGCTTAGCTGAGACTAACAAGGTAAGTTATTAAAGAACCTGCAGCTACAGTGAACGTGTTTGGAAGAAGCGTGTTATAAAGTGGATTCAGTTGAGAGAAAGCCGGATCTGGCAGCCTGTCCTGGGGAAACAGTGCAGTCCCTGAGGAAGACAGTCGTGAAGGATGGTATTTAAACTGCAGCTGAAAAACTATCCCCCATTCCCACACGGACTGTAACTGAGCAAAACATACTGGTAACAGAGACGAACTGCAACACTCTCATTGACCTTTTCTCATTGCCAATATGATATTGTTTTCTTTTATACAGTAGGTATTGTGCAGGGTTGCCACCAGTTAATATAACAGAGGTGCAGCACAGTCAAATCTGTTTTACAGCATCTGTTTTATTTGAAACATCAGCTTAGGGCTGTGCAGGCACAAGGCCTTTACTTACAGTACCAGGCAATATATTATTATATCCCTTTATTTATCAGGCAAGTCGATCGAGATGAAACTCTTATTTACAATATGGACTTGGCAGAGTCTGAAACACACTTGTACAGCAGGGAATTTACTGGAGCAGTTCAGATGAAACACCTGGCTCAGAGGTACAACAGCACTGCCCCACCTGAGATTAGGGCACACAAACATCCAGTCTGGAGTCCAGAACTCCAGACTTCACAACAGGAAACTTACAGTATATTTAAGGTCTCAGGCCCACTCCAGCTGCTGCTCTGCGGGATGAACTAGCAGTGACAGGGCAGCCATCCTCTATTCCACCCACCTGTCTCTCAGTGTTGGTTGCCATGGACACCAACTGACCGGAGACACAGACCACCTGGAGCCAATTACATTCTCGCCCGCTTCAGGAGATACAGGGATATTTAAGGACTTTTCAGACTCTGCACAGGGCTCCGGTATACTGTAACAATCCTCTGGTCGGTGGGACTAGCATTGGACCGGGAGTGGCAATGTGAACCCACTTGCTGGGCAACAGGCAGATGAGACCCAGGAAAAGTCCAGGCAGCCTACTGAAAGAGGCCTCAGCACAGCGCCCAAGACAGGCAGGGGCAAAGAGCCGCCACCAGGATGGCTTTGTAGCAGGCCATCCTGGAGGGGTTCAAAGCGGAGATCGCAGACGGGCAGAGATGCAGCCGCGCAGCCCGGCCACCAAGCAGCAATCACAGAGCTGCAGGGGTCGTAGCACCGGAGAGATAGGTGTTAATGAAGCAAGAGAGAAAGATCAAGAGCTGTGGTCGGGGGAACAAGTAAGAGTCAAGCCAGGAGAAATACAAAACACGTGAATCTTCAAAACACGAAGGGAACAAGCTTGAGAACTCTGAAGCTCAGACTTCGAATCCTGTATCAGAGCCCTGAGCTAGACACGTGAGATGGTAATTGCCTCCAGGTGATTCAGGTCTTCTGTCAGTTGGAGCCCATGGCAACCGCCCCTGAGTGACAGGTGGGTGGGGCAGAGGCCTGCTGCCACACCAGTACTAGATCACCCTGTAACCTGACATCAGGCATGTGAGCCTGTCATTTAGATCTCTACGTCTTCTTTGGACATGACCTCTCCAAACGTGAGAAAAGAGACGAGTCACACCGATGCACTTTCCCCAGATTGTATTCATACAAGACAAATGTTTCATTAACAAAATGAAAATAAGATCAATGCATAGTTGTGAAGCCTGAAGGAAAACCATGACTTACTGCCTCAGTGACTCATTTTTTCCTTGCATAACACTTAAAACTGACACCTGATGTCAGCAGGCTTATGGTATCTGACTTATTATTTGAGAATAAAAGAAGCTGTCTGTTTGCCTTCACCTGAAACTGATGCAACATTGATGCAAGAACTGACCTTAAATATTCTCCCCTCCCTGTAGCACATTGCTGACTTCTGATACCAGGAACTACCAGATCCTCTTTAACCAGAGGATTTGCAGTAAAAAGAGTGAGCTGAGTATACAGTATCTGTTCACACACCCCTGATAAAATCACTTCAGAGGTTACTGTGCCAGGAAAGGTTGAATGGATTAGAAACTCGTTTTTTTGTGCTGAAGGAGAAGCAAAAGTCCTACCCAGCTTTTACCAGTCCTCTGGAATTTGATTTATTACTGAAGTAAGACTTATTTATAAAGGAAAAGAAGCAAACATAATGCAGCAATTCGTCTCTAAAAGATGTATTCAAAATACGCCTGTTTGAAGATACCATCCTGGGTCTGAATTGTTGAAAGAGTTTGAATTTAAAATCTTCTTTTTTTAATTGCAATTACTTTGTAAATCACCACAGAGTTAGAGATTACATTGGTTACTGGGTATGGCCTGCTTACATTAGCCAGCCAGGTCCCTGTTTGTTTCTCAGTTTGCCTTTACGCAGGGAAAACCAACATTTACTCACCAAACAGTGAGCCATCATCAGAGTGCAACAGAGTTTCCACCTGCACTTACTTCAATTGCACCAGGTGTTCAGGTCTTCACAGGGATTATGTCCACAAACAATAAGCTGCTGGCACACAGGAAATTGACTCTAATAGCAGAGAAAGGTCTGATCCCTGCATGGCTATTATTGTAAGTGCCAGGCTGTCTGTGTACGTGTGGGTTTTTTCACAGAGCATTTGAATAAGTGCTGTTTCTCCTTCATGATTCCTCAGCTATTTCTGTTTTTTGGGAGCTAAAAATAACTATTTAAAAAACAATGGGTCAAAAACAAACTTAAATTTTCTTCAAATTATCATGTGTATGCCCTGTTTACTAGTGGATACTTGCAGAAAATTTTGACAGTTGAATAACTTACTATTTTAGACTGAAAATTGAGACAAGATTTTGAGGTTTTTTTGGGGGGCTAGCCTAATTGAAGTCTTAAAAGGTATCCTCAAACTATCCTGCCATCCTGTGGAAAGCATCCCGAACTGTGGGCCAAGTCGTTACAGATTCCCACAGGTATTGAAGATGTAGGGCAGGATGGGCAATTCCACTCCTAATCTATCCCTCTGGTTTTTTTAGGACACCTGATCTCAGGTACTTAAAGTGAGCTAACCAATGTGGTCAACTCATCTGGGCTTTATGTAGTTAATCAGTTGCTAGCTAACACTTACAGCACCTGTGAGCCACACCTGGAGCAATCTGACCAGCTAAGAGTACAACTCCTTCTCTCACCTATGAACTCTCAAACAGTTATAAAATTCTACAGATTTGCAGATGACTGGAGGTTCCAGTGCTGTTTCACAAATAAAAGTGCTATGGAGGGACAGGGGTGATCTAAACAGCTGCCTGACAAACAACACGGAAACATGAACGGAAAGTGTTTCGCTCAGGCAGCAGCAATGTCCCTTTCAGAGATCTAATGTGTGGCCAAGAAGCAGATGAGGCAACATGCGTGAGTGAAAAACCTACAGGCATCCCTTTGCACAGAGAGTTGTGTGGGTCAGGAACAGCCAGGCCAGCCACACTGCAGGAACTGACTAAGTGGAAATGTTGAAGAAATCACTAAGTGCATAACCAAGCGTCTAGAAACAAATGGTAGGATCTCCACTTTTCCACTTGTCTTGAGTACAGTTCCTTTGGGGTTTTTTTGTGGACTGAGTGTAGCCCAATATTCCTAGAAACCCTGCAGGACTCCACTTTCTTTTGAGAGCGGCATGTCATCCCTCTAGCATGATTTCGGAGCAGAGCCGAGCCTCAGGAGCAGTGTGTGCAATCAGCTCTCTGCTCATGTGACCTGCTTAGCGAAGTCTGGATAATGCTAATCATGTGCACAGTAGGTTATTAGCTCATTGTGAAATGTAGCACTTGGCTAGGGTGACTTCTCATTTAACAGCTGTACTTTTTCAAGATACAAATCTACCCCAAAAAATACCACTTGAAAGCCATCAACAGCATGTAGTAAATAAAATGGCAGCATTTTCAGGAGGAATGCCAACTGAAGAGGAATGATATCAGAAACGCTCTTTTCAGCAACACATGCCAGTCCATGGTTTATTCGGAACAACTGCATTTATACACCAGAACTTTCTGAGCTCGTCTGTGAACCAGTTACATACAGGTGGTTCTCCGCCATGGTGCTGGAGGAATGCAGTCAACTTGTTTTCATTCCAGGAGAGCTCTCAATCTCCAGTATTAAAGACTTGATTGACCTGCTTACCAATTCTTTCCTTCTGGCTACATTTCAAGCAATCCAACTGAATGAGGGCAACTTACAAATTACAAAATGTCACTGAGCCTTCAAATGAGTGAAAGCGAATTTACAAATATGTCTCAAATAGAAAACTGAAAATAATTAGCTTGTGATTAAGAATTTGGCAGGAGCAACATCCAGCAGGGAGAGCTCCCCTAGGACCAGGGCTAGGAAGAACTGGTCTATACCAGTATAAAACCTAATAAACCAAATGCAATGAGCTGCAAGCTGAACTGTGCTGCAGAAAACAGCATGGGCAGTCAGAGGAAGCAGAACACGGGCTTACAGTGCCATTCACAGAACCTGACCAAAGCAGACCAAGCAGAAGCATGAACTGTAGAGCCTGCAGTGGGAGAGAGGTCAAGGGTGCATGTGATCAGATCGGTGGTAGTGGGTGGTATTGAGCTGAGCTGCTCCCGTGGAAGAAAAAGATATCTGGATATCAGCTGAAGCCAAGACACATTTTACTAGACCCCACCTACTACACTGTCTCTTCCAGCGAGCAGCACACTTAGCACAGAAACCTGGCCACAAAGTGCCTCCTATGTGTCTGGTATCTGCCGTCAGCAATGTCAGGTTTCAGGTTCATCTTCGATGATCTTTTGCTGCACAAAATAATGGTTATGAAAATAAATGGGTAAATCCCTTTCGATAAGAGAGTGAAGTGTTGCAGATGTCCTCACAGAGCCCCTTTTGAGTCTGCCTGCATACACCCTTGCAGTGCATAAGCAGTATTTGTGGCACACAATATGAGAGCTTCAAACCGGAACACACAAGGGAGGGAGGACAGTAAGAAAAGGGAGACGAGCTTTTTCTTAACACAACCAACACTGAGCAATGCAGATGTAGACTATTTTTTATTCCACAAAAAAGAAAATCAGCAGTTCAAAGACATTTTTCTAACAAAAGGCAATAAAAAGCTATTACAAATCTGTTCATTTTTTCCTATACAGCTTTGAGCTCAGAGTACAGGTACAAAGCAAAGACTTACACGACACACGTACTGTGGTGAAAACTCAGGGATAAGGTGTGGGATTCTGAAGGATGCCGACAGGCAGGAGTAAAATAAAAAGACATGAACACAACAGTAATGGCAGAATACCCTGAATCTGATGCAGGAAGCTCGTCTCCAGTAACCTGCATTGCAAGATTACACTGGTTTTCCCATCCCATGATGATAATATCATGAATTACTATGATTGTATGGGCTCAGAAGAGTTCTAAGCCCTGGTTCTGCCTGTAGTGCGTCAGCATGAAGATCCTCTAAGAGATTAATCCCCACATCTCTTATTTAGATGAAACGCAGCACAAGGATGAGTGGTTATGGAGCAGTAGTGCCCTTTCAGGGGGTATGTATGGGGACAATCGTCCCAGCAGCCCAAACACTCACTATTCCCTATGGAACCACCCTGTTCCAGGATGACTCTTGATTTGAAGTTCTTGGCCCCCTACCAAAACATGCTCCACTTTTGTTCCCCCCCACCCCAAAAGCAACTAAAACATTAAAAGGCACAAATCTAGTGGAACAGAGTTTTGGAAAACATTTAGCTGCAGTTTACTCTGCATTAAGAAAAAAAAACTGGGGCCCATTTGGTACAGGAGCAAAATGTTTTGAAAGTCAGCCAGGGTCAGAAAACCCAACTCATCTTTGCATATTAGACAGCTGCACACAACGATATGGGCCAAACGTTTGTTTTTCCACTGTCAAAACCAGTAAAATACACATCACAGCCAGAGCAATGTTAATACAGTGGCTTGTATGCTTGATAATAAAGACCAGCAACATATTCACAGCAGTCCATAGCCCTGCACTGTGAAAATGCTCTAGTTTAGCTTTCTTGAGTGGGTCAGTTGTAACATTTACAATACATGAATTACATGTGTATGCAAAACAGTTAAACAAAAGTCAAGATTTTGTCACGGAGTTCCTCTGTACATGCAAACAGCTTTACAAATGAACATGGAACAGCCCCTGGGTTATTTGTAACAGAATTCCCTTCCCATTACTGGACTGTCGCTCCTGATCGTAGGTTCCACACTAGAGGCAGTGGAGCAGCAGTTACTGCTATCTCAGAACACACGCCTCCCATATCTCAAAATGCTAGGAACCTGCTACCCCTACACAACACTAGGCTGGGCAGAAACACTGCAACCCAGAGGGAAACTAATTAAAAATGTAAGCAACAAAACACTAAATGAAAAATAAAGGGTACAAAATTCACAACCCTACAGTGATCGGAGTGCTTTAATACATGCTTGTATCAGCTGTATCCACAAGCAGTCACTAAAATAAATAAATGTGTCTACAATACAATTTAACTTAATAAACATAAATTAATAATACACACAAATCTAGATTAGTCACTCTGTAGAACTGTTAAACATAAAAAATGAAACCTTAACAACAGCTAGTGGAATGGTCATATCTACACTGCAGATAAATACACACATTCTTTTTTCGGACATCAAATTCGAAAGACATCTGTTTCACATGAACTGTGGAGCTAACACTTTCTAACAGGAAAACCACAAATGATCATCTAATTTCATTTAGAAAATGAAAACAATTTTAGAAAACAGAATGTGTGTACAATAAATTCCTTCAGACTTTTTTTATAACGGAAACCTTCATCAGTTCAATGCAGACGCATCACACAGACTGACAGAAATCACAGAAATCTCCACATTATTTTTTACTGCAGTAACAGCCACACAAAAACTTATTCCACCCACATCCACTCTTTGCTCATTCCAGGACCCTTTCCCCAAATCCTAATTTAATATTCCTCAACTTCCATGTGAGGAAAAGAGTTTTGACCTTTTCAGTCCACAGGTAACCAGTTGCAGAAGTTCCAGGAAATAGGGGTGTAAAAATGGTACAAAATCTCAAGCGTTCAGAGTTCAGACCCCAGCGTTCATACCCTGTTTGACCAGCTTAGCATAAAAACAGACTTTACCAAAAAAATCACAGCCATAAGCAATAGCAAGAAGAACATGGAATAAACCAAAGCAACTGGAATTGTAGATCAAAACGCACAGTGACTAAGTCATAACGGAACAATCACGTGTCTCCCAAAGTCAAGCAGCTGCTTTACAGAAAAGAGCTGCATAAAACTCGACTTGCATGGTGCTGCCTGTACTTTTACACTGTGAATCTATCATACTGGGAGGCGCACGTTTCAGGTGGCCTATCACAATCCTGGTGCACTGCAACACCGGTCTGAACACTGACAGCTTCTATACACCATTCACTGCTTTTTTCTAAGTACTATACAGGAGGTCCCCCCAGCAACGTGGGCACAAAGAGCATCTGAGTTTTGAAAATCCAGGCATTGAACACTGGGTTACAATGAGAAAGAAATAAAATTACAATTCACACACTTCTATTGAAAAATATGTGATCTGAAAATATCCTGACAGCGATGCTCAAGTCCCAAAGTCAGCAGGAATGTCAGAAGGACACTGCCCAGAAAGACATAACTCAGGATTATACAGTATATAACATTAAGTGTAACGTGAATATAATGTTAAACTGGGAAGTGAAGTGTAACATTAGGGATAACAATTTTAAAAGCTCAGTAATATTACATTATGTGTGTATACTAATATGTACAAGTATACGCTACATATTATTTTAAAACCTTGCATAGCAACCATGTGGGAATACAGCATTTGAAAACATCTTAGTTTAAAACAATACACAGTCAAAAAGGGTGATGCTCTGAAGTCAAGAGTGCCATATATAAATGCATTTAAACTCTGATTTGAGTAAAATCATCCTGGGCTGTTCTTTTAGGAACAGCAATACTAGGAATAAAAGGATATATATAAAGAGCTTTTGTGAAAGGCAGCATATTTTTTATGGGTTTCTATATACACAGCAGAAGGCACAAAAAACTGCTGCCCTTGCTCACAAAGATCCAGAGATCTTTTTAAGAAACGCTTCAATGTTCAATGAGGAGACACAGCGAATCTGGGAGATTTTGGGAGATTTGGGTCCCTTGTAGCTACACTACAGTACTTCAACCTCCTGGGCAGCCACAAGAAGCTGTCAGGAACTCTGATCCTGGGGCCCTCAATTCAACAGGTTTAGTGTCACCATCACTTCCCAAAGACTTGGGACACGTCTCACAGTCAGGAGAAGTCAGGAGAGAGCAAGCTCAGTCTTTGAGAAAGGCTGCTTGGGACACAAACCTGAATGAAGTACTTCATACCGTGTCTGCGTACTCTGTCAAACAGGGATTGTGAAACAGTGCTGTAAGGGTGACCTATGAATCCTGCAGGACAAGAACTTCTCATTCTCTTCCCCTTTGGGAGGTCTGGTGGCAGACTCCAAACAATGGGGGAGTGTTGAATCTAAAACCACCGGTTAAGAGAACAGGTTTTAAAATTCTCATAGGGTCTTGACATTCAGCTGCAGAGCCGCTACTGTGTTAATAGCACAGCTCTTCTGCTGTTTGGTCAGGTTTGCCTCACATTATGCAAGATATCATTAGCAAACTGGAAGTTACACAGTCCATCGTCTTGTTCCTGGGCATAAAAATAAGATGAACTCATAGTGCTGTTTTTCTACCACCTGATGCTCTAATTTCGAAAACGGGGGATTTTGCTCCAATCAGCACCATTAAAAAAAGAAACAACTAGATGATCAGACTGACAGTGTTTCACAGTCTCACAGTAGTTCCCTCAGGGGAGGCCAGTTCCTGCTCTGACAGCTCCACAGGTCAGCAGCACTGCCAGTTGTATCAGAAAATGGCCTCATGTGGTCTTTACACAGACAATCTGACTGAATGATGTAACATTTAATGGCTTTTCCAAATCAGCGCTTAGAGAACCGACGTGGAAAAGACAGCAAACCCATTTTTTGACGCTGCAACAGCTGCATAGGTTAGCTGTACTAAAAAGGAAATGTTTTATAGATTGTGTGTTTTTTCTTCACAATTGTAAATGTTTTCAAATGCACCTTTACAGAGAACTGCAATCCAGCACCAGAAGAACCCTTAGCGTCAACCTACAACACAAGAACACAGAAGAGAGACAAGAGGTCCGCACGGGTAGTCAGTGAAGCCTCACTGAAACAGTGGCAGCAGGGCAGAAGCAAGACCACCTGGGTCCACCGACGTCTGTCGTCAGTCGGACATCTGTTTGAGACTATTTCCAAGTTCTTCAAAACTGCACCCTGGAAGACGACATGTCAGAAATTTCCCAAGGAAGCTGACATGCCCACATAAATATCCATGCTCTTTTGCAGGGTTAACCATTTAACTTTTATGGTTCAGGTCCATACATTGAGGTAACCTGATAACACACTGGCCAAATTTTCCCTATGCAAGACTGTGTGGTGGGAGCTGGCAGCTGCCTGTGTCCGTTGCTAGGTCCAGTGTTGCCATGGAAATTATGGGGTCACCATATGTCCAGGTGTGTGGGTACCACCGGCAGATGGTACAGACAAGTCTCAGAATATTTTGTCCCTCTCCCTTGAGAGAGTATCTGGAAACTGTGAGCCTGGGCTGCAGACAGAAGCATGTGGGAGGGAGTGCTTTTTTTTTGTTGAGAAAAACTCACAGGCCCTAAGGGAGAAAGGACGATGGTGTGCAAAAAGGTGTGGAAACAGTTTAACTCCTAAAAAAATAAAGTTACAAAAAAGTACTGTTGACTCCGACCATATTGAAAATATCAGGAACATTTGCATATATACATACAGTATATACACAGGTAATATATGTATATATGCATATTCCCAAGTTAGAATTGTTATCCCCAATGCTGTCCAATTGTAATTACCCACCCAGAAACACTATTCTCGTGCCCCACAGCTCGGGGACAGCAGTGCTGGGCTGGAGAGTGTCCGACTCCAGGTCAGGGGAAGTGGCTCTGATCTCTCCCACTCTAGGCCTGTTCCAGTGTTTCCTTTGAGATGGCGTGTGGGAGAACGGTTAGTAGCGAGTCCATTGTGCGCTTAGCAAAGCGGAGGGAGAGACCTGCTCATGATTGCTGGGGCACAACTTCCAGAACCTTCTGGAAGAAGACGGTCGAGGAAACTGCAGGAAGGAAACACACAGACAGGGCAATTAATGTCTTGCACAATCCGCCACTGAAAAAGTCGAGTTTGACTGCCTTCGTGTTTGCCTTTTAAAGACCGCGGAAAGCGTGATAGAGTTTGTGCTGGAATTGGTCACACACAGAACTTCACAATCTGAAACAAGAATGTTTGAACGTATTTAACTCGATAAAAACTGTTGATTTCCCGCTTTTCTCACAAGCCTGACAACATGCACCAGAAGGCAACTACCGCAGCGTGATCAGCAAGCAAAGAAGCAGAGTGTTGCAATACAAACACCTGTTTTGGGGTTCACTCAAACTCAGGAACAGCCTTGTACTGTCTGGCTTGTTAGTTCAACTGAGGTTGTGCTTTTAGAGGTTGAGCAGTGCCCTTCTCTCTGACTTCGGTGCAGGGCAGGTCAAGCACATCACACATAAGCTGACAGCCAGCCTTGCTCGGCTCACACCAGTACAGCTGCATCACCACCTCGTGAATCCCGGTAACAGTCAGCCCCCGACATGGCCCAGACTTGCGATTACATTTTGAATACAAAAATGGAACCAATTCCTGAGGATGACTGTATCCAACAGGCAATACTCCTCAAACGGAGCACTACGTGAGCCCATGATGGCCAATCTGCATCCTTTGGAGTACCCTGGAGATCCCAGAAATGCTGGGTTCTGCTCACGACACACTTGTTGGAATAGGTGATCTAGGGCTTTAAACAACGCATGCCCCCTCTTTCCAAGAGTTTTACCAACTGACATAACATCTAAGCACCAGCCTGACTCTAAGGCAAGAGCTTCTCCCTGATGTCGTGGACAGTACTTACAGATGACCTGCAGAACCCATTTGGGCTTGTTGACCCACCACACCCCAAAGTAGTACACAGGAACCCCGGTGAGGATGATGACGAATCCGATGCCACATTCCACTGGTGTCTTCCAGATGGAGACCACGATGAGGAAGATGCAGGCCAGGACGAAGCTGATTGGCAGCAGGATATTCACCTGGGACAGGAGACAGAGCACCTCAGTTCATGTTCTCTATTGGAGCCAGAATTGTAGAGCCACTGACACCCCCAACAACAGGTTGAATGAAAAGATATTTTCCTTTGCTTTTCCCTACCCACATTGGACCCCCGCCATATTCTATAATTCTGCTCTAGACCACAAAGTTTTGGGAAACCCCTATAATAATATTTATTTCAAATTTAATTTATTAATTCACTATTTAATTGAAAAGCCCATCCTCAGCTGCCAGCTTCCTGCACAGACTGTATAAACTGGACTGTCCAGTCTGGCATCCGTGTTGCGGAAGTCTGTATGTCCCTAATCAGACTATAAAACATTTTGCTTTGTTGCAGCAGGAGTCTCCGAAGAGCTTGTGCGAAAATATCTGGTCCCACTGAGTTGACAGATGTCTGTCTCAAGAATGCTTATTCCTGGTAAGAACAAAGTTTTTCTTATGCACTGGTGCACAAACCACAGCACACTATTGTCACACAGACTCCAAATGGAGGCGAACAGACACAGCATGATCCTGCTTTTCAGCTTCTAACATCTCCTAAGATGTGGACACTTGTCAGGCCTGAGGCTTGTGTCCGAGACCGCGAGGGCGGAGTGCGAACTGTGACCACAGCTACAGCCTCTCACCTTAATGGGCCGGTCCAGCTCGGGCTTCTTGTAGCGCAGCCACATCATGCCAATGATGGCCAGGGCGATGCACAGCCAGTTGAAGAAGCTGAAGAAGTTGATGACGGAGAAGATGTCATTGGAGAAGGCATAGAGGAGTGTCATGAGGCACTGCAAAGAGAACACACGTTTTTAGCTTCGGGTGCTTAAGCAGTAGAACAAGACAAGCAGGACCAGTCCACCCTAGTGCAGAGGTTGCACCTACAATTATAAATATTTGTTTTCTAAGTAGCAAGGCACAGATATTCCAACACCTACATAACAAAGACCTTGCACACCATGCAGCAATGAAATCTGGTGAACATGCCAACGCCAGTGGGTTCCCTAATAATACTAATAATAGTACCAAAACATGAATAGGCACTGTACTTGGACGTACGTAACTATGTCGTTAATGTCGGTATCAAGACACCAGGGGAAAAAAAAAAGGAAATTTGCATTTATGCATCTGACCGTAAAAAGTAAACCACACTGCACATATCTACAATAAAATGGTCACAAGGAAGGAGTGCAGATATTTTAAAAAGCACCCTTGAGCCATTTTGAATAAGAACAAACCCCGGTTATGCGGCTTAGTGAAATCCACAAAAAGCATTCAAGTCGCTGATGTGGTTTTAAAACAAGGCAGGCAAGTTCATCCGTTAACTTGGAACAAACACTTTTTCACTGGTTCAATCACTTCAAAGCTCACCATGGGACTGCACAAAGTCACAGTGGAGAAAGTTAAACCACAGTTTCAGAAAAATACACACAATTAAGAATATCCTAGAATAGCACTATACTGTAGGAACTAGATAAAATAAGACACTTGGGCTTCTTGTAGTCATGATTTTTTTATCTTCAAAGACCTTCCTACTACTGTCACCCTCATTTTACCTGGTCAGCTCAGAATATATTTCTGACTTTCAGAGTGAATTTCAAAAGCTTCAAAAGGCATCTCCATCCCCAAAATGATCAAATAAACTTCATCCTCAAGGTGCATCTTGCAGATAAATAAAAACTATTCTGAATGCTCACTTGATAGGATAGAAGAGTCTCTAGAGAGCAACAGGGCTGAACGAGTGCTGGAGACAAGCCAGAGAGGCGAGACTGTACGTACTGTGAAGATCAAGGAGGGCAAAGGTGTGAGCAGGCTGGGGTGGATCATGGACAGGAGGCTGGGCAGGTGGCCCTCACGGGATCCCACGAAGAAGAGCCTGAAATCCACAAGGACACAAGGCTCATCAGGCCAGGAGCACAGTAGGGAACCCCAACATCAGGAGCCCCACCCTGCACAGTGCCTAGCCTGATTCACCCCCAAGCCCTGTGGCACACCTCGGAGCACTCGGAGGTTCTGAAGTGGAGTGGGCTCCTACAAACACCTGCTTGTTTTTAGCAATCCAAATAAAAAGGTGCTGGTTCCCCTATCTTCGGCCACTGTATGATGAGCTGTTCAGGTGGAGCTGCAATACGAGCTGAGGGTGAGTAAACTGGCCTTCCTCAAGTGACACTGCGACAAACATCTTTAGCTGATGATCTGGCAGAAATCCGTATTTTTAAGAAACCCGACAAAGACAAAAGCAAAAATGCACAAGACACAGATGCTCAGAGCTGATCAAGGGCGCTTGACTCTGAGTCTGAAGAAAACAGACTCCTCAGCTTTAGATCAGAATGTAGCGTAACTCTCTGAAGCTCCGGCTCAGTTTTCAACTAGCCAGAATCCCCGCACATAAACCAGGACATTGACTACATTTAGATTAAAAAACCCACTTAATTCAAATGGACAGCCTAAGAAAGTTAAATCTGTACAAAACAGGGGACAGCAGATGTTCACCAGATTTGCTAGCTCCCTGCCCTCTCCTCACTGATGCTCTTACCTGGAGGAGGTGAAGAGAGACCCATTTACTGATCCGAAACAGGATAGGCCCACAAACACGGGGATGATCCAAGCCATTACCCCTAGGTGGTGGTTTCCAAAATCCTGAAGAGACAGTGACAAATTTTTAAAAAATGCAATTAATGCAGCATACCTTACAGCAGAAAACTGGACAGGATGCACTGAATTACGAGATCAATTCTGCACTGAACCTCCTTGAGCCTTGAGGCTGAGCATTTGAGTTCATTCCTGAAAACTTGTATTTGCAACAGACACTTCTTCATAGCGGGCAGCATGATGGCGCAGTGGTTAGCATTGGAGCCCTGCATTCAATTCCTGGAGTGCCGTCTGCATGGAGTTTGTATGCTCTCCCTGAGTGTGTGTGGGTTTCCTCCAGGTGATCAGGTGATCTAAGCTAATTAGCATCCGGGCCCTGCTGTCTGGGTGTGCTGTGTAATGGACAGGCTTCCCATACCAGGGGGGGTCCTTGCTTGCCAGAATCAACTCTGGCTCCCCCGAGTTCCTATTGTTTGGATAAAACCGTTGGAAGAGAGGTGGATGGATGGATTTATCCATAGTTTTCATAAAAGAGAACCGAGTTCGGCATGTGTGTTTCGCTCCACCGAAAACCGAGCGCTAACTCTCAGCCTCAGGCTGCTCTCCTCCGTGGACAGAGGTCACTCACCACGGCAACAGCCTTGGAGCTGAGCATGGACTCGGGGCTGAGGGTGGTGAAGTAGGCCAGGTTGGTCAGGACGTACACGATGGTCACAATGGGCAGGGAGATGATGATGGCGCGAGGAAGATTTCTGGGGGGAAACACAGGGAATCAACCCCTTCCGGAAAGACAAAGCAAATGCTAGAAATTTACACTGCTTACAAAACTGTCAACTTTACTTTTTCCTTGAAAGGCCTGGAATGTAGTAACATGGCTATTGAGCATAAACATTGTTACACAAATGAATCTTTTTCATGGCACAAGATAACACAGCTATGATCTGCCTCCAATTCTGAAAGATTGCTATTTAAAGAGTTTATACATTTAACCAAAACCACTGTAATTTCTTCTAAAGAAATGCAACAATTTGAAGCCATCCGCCTTTCCCAGTTTAATGAATCATCTGGAGGCAGTTCTGTGCAAAGCTGAGATGTGAAAAATGCTCAGAGGTTCTTTCCCCATGATCTGATGTTCGGGGGCCTGTCATCTGTTTCAGCATAATTAGCGAGCCACTAACGAGCCCGGGGAGACCACAGGCTGCTGTCTGGGCAGGAACGAAAAGCCAGACAGCAGCAATGACTAGATGCCTGGTGGCCTCCGCATTCCTTTCAAGCAATGCCATGGCCATGTGAGCAATTCTGAAGAACATCTTCAAGACGTCTTCTTCTGAAATGTGCAGTAACCAACACACCTTGAAAGATGATTTAAAGTCCATGTTTCACTGGCACTATGAAGAATTAAATCTCTATGGCCATGCAAAAGATTTAGACACCCAGGTGGTCAGCTGTGACCAGCATACTGTACAAGCGCCTGCTGGGGTCATAAAACAGGCCGGGGCAGGCTCCAGAGAGTCCAGCACTCAGCCTGTCATTAGTCAGGGGTCAGAATATTTGGGAAGAACATGAATCAACTTCTGAACACAACAGCTCTGCAATTCCTTTGGGAAAGTGAAACAAAGAAGACAACTTACTTGAAAGGTTCGATCATTTCTTCCGTGACAAAATTCAGATAATTCCTAAAAAAAAAGAACAAAAATATTTTGTTTCGCTTTGTTTCCTTACGGGATCCCACAGTAGAGAGCATGATCCGATGTGTCGTTTTGGACAATTTCAATAGTTAAGAAAAAATATCTTCTTAAAAGTGTTACCTAATGTGTGAAGAGCCTAGTATTGTCAGAACCCAAAAGATCCAATTACTTTTATGTCTTGTTTCCCACTAATTCCTTTTTGTAAATCTGAATTTTGTTCACTTTTTATATGGGATACTAATTTAACTTTTGAGGAAAATGTTTTTCTGACAACAGTCAAGAGATTTTTCACTAATTCAGAAAATTCTATTTCTTAATAGTTTTTGTAATGATTATTAATCATTACTTCTTGAAGTCCCTGTTTGGTTTATCCAATCACAGCCTACAGTCTTTTTTATAGTCTGTGAAAAAGATGCATATGAGTTTGTCTACAAGCTAAATATTTTTCAACGTGTTAAAAGACCATGATATCTGTCATTAGAATTTTTATTTCTTTATAGGACAGAAAAGAAAAAACTTAGGAAGTAAAAAAAAAGTGCACTGAGCATTTATAAGCTCACCATGAAAAGAGATGTCTCTTTGCCAGCAGTTCTATCCCTTTTTTACGATGCATTAAATAGCTAAGCCTGGTTAAACACAGGAACTGCAACCAGAGCTCAAAAGTGTGCCTTACCAGCCTCCATACGCAAACAAGCCACTGTACAGGGCCAGTCCAATTTTCCCAAAATCAGCATTGCTGCCTTTGAAGGAATTTTCTGGCAGGAGATTCTCAATGTCACCTGTGGGGAGAAGAGGAAGAAAAAACAGAAAGAACAAAGCTGAATGACAACCCTGGCCAATGAGGAGAGCAACGAGGATGCAGGCGTCAAATGGGCGATCTTTCGCAGTGGGGGGGCGTACCACGACGCCCTTGCCTCGTGCTCACCACCTTGAGCCAGCACGTGGTCCGTGACGGAACGGAGCACACAGAGCTGACACCTTGAGCCAGCACCGTTCGAAAACTGCGTGAACTGTGTGAACGCCCTCCCTGACCAGGCCCAGAAAAGCAGCCAACCCCACTATCTGCTTTCATTGCGCTGGCTGTGTGCTTAAGCCAGAATCCAGTGCGGAGTTCTGGTGGGCAAAGCGAGTCCACACTCGGATCCCTCTTGCATCACGGGCTCCTCAGATAGAGGTACTAAGCAGCTATTTCCAGCACAGCACAGGCATGCACTACCTGACTGCCATCCAGCCACACAAAATACTTTTAATATTTTGTGTGGCTGATATAAATTCACTATGAATGAATAAAGCTTTCATGCCGTACATCTGCCCTGGGCACTGGGTTATGTTCCAGATGAAAGTGCGTATGTGTTTAGTTTTGTGGTTAGTCACATTTTTATCTTATCTCTGCGTGTAAGGCTGCTGATGTCGGCATGGTAGTAATCTATATCCGGAGTAATAATGGTTTTCCCCCTGACTAAGCAGCCCAGCCTAAGGATTCATAAGTTGGCCAAAACTGCCAACTCAGCTGCCCCCCACCCCCTCCAAGCCACACCAGTCCCTCCCTTCACACAGTTCTCACAACGAGCTCATTAGGTAACAAGCACATGCCTCAGTCAAATGGGAGAAAGTTGGATTACTCCTTATGCCTGCAGAAGACACGCCAGGAATGCGTTTACCTTCCAGGCACCAGGCTGGTGAAACAAACCGCCTCTCAGAACAAACTCCACGCTCGGTCACATGAGTTTGAGAGCAGGGCCAATGGCACTGCCCAGCACCACTCTCCACGGACGCAGGAGCCTGCAAAGCCTGGGACGGATTGGAGCCTAGACTGGTACGAGCATGTGAGCAGAGAGAGGCTCATTCCAGGCTTAGACACCAGCCACAATTAATCCAGAATGCTTTCTTTTAAATGCTGTTCTTATCTGCTTTGTAACTTTCTACCTGCATAATACTAATTCCTTACACTTAATTATACTTTTCTTGACACTCCACTCAAAGTTCTTTTAGCTAAAGGGGAATCCCACTACCACCACCAATGTGTAGCTGCCACCTGGATGATGCAATGGCAACTAAAGCCAGTATGGGGAGGAGAACAGTGCAATGAAGCTTACTTCTAAAACTATGCAGAGCTACAGCATCATAAATTAGTCAATAATAATCGAGCTATAAGTACTGATGGTAATGTCTGTGATTATGCACAGTTCTATATCTTCATACGCACACAGACATAGGAGCTGACACTACTGCTTAAATTGGTTCACTTGACGATGATTACCACTTTGTAGGATTAATGAGTGTGCAATAAATGCGGCTGAGAACGATTTCTCACAGTGATAACCTGGCCTAGAGACTTGGGCCAGTGTAGCACAGGAATGCAAAGCTCTGAATGAGCCAGCATCACGCTTAACAAATCAGACGATTAGCTTTTTAAACTTCATGCACAAGGAGTTCTAACATCTGCGCTTGTCTGTAAAAAACTATATCTACACATTCTCAGTGTTTTTTTTTGTCTCAAGGTCACATCACCCACAAATAAAATGAATTCTAAAGAGATCTGAAGCACAATGAGAAAAAGAGGATTTTCTCACAAACTGGTGACCTCGCAGCAGCTGCACTGTTCAAAACCAGCAGTTGGTGATGGATGCTTTGGGGGATAAACTGTGCAAGAACCGACTGTACCCATGTGACTGTCTGCAGTCTGGACCCTTGTAATCCCCCCCAGAGACAGCATCATATGACACCCACAGACGAGCTGCTCACTGGGTGCAGCAGACTCTCCACTTTCTCTAGACCAACCCATCGCTGGTAAACTGCTGGGCTTAACATTCAAAAACGCGTTTTAAGAAAAGGATTCTAACTGTACTCTCTGCACACAGATATACAGGATTTGCAGCTCATTTGATGTATAAATAGCGTCATTTTATTATGACAAATTGTACAAATATTCTTTGCTTGAAAATAAAATGTAAAAATGTTCTGTAAAAAACACAACCTCCGCTCTGGTTACAGAATAATCTGAGTGCTAGCCACATCTGTCCTTGAAGTGTAACACTTTTATCTTGAAAAGATAAAGCACTGTGTGCACTGTATTCCTCAGGCAGCACACAAACAGCCTTGTTCTCTTGCAGATTAGCTCCTCGTGCCACAGCACTAAACTGAGCGCAGATCGGCAGGGCTTCTGGGAAGTCACAGAGGCTCCTGTGTGCAGGGTTAGGAGTGCTGTCACCTGCATCTCATTTGTACTACATTATAGAGAATAATAATTAGCCGCTACACAATAACTTGACAGGACTTCACGAGTGGGGGGGGTGAAAACTGGAAAATTGGCACTATCAACGGGCTCCACTGGAAGTCCTATCTGAAGGAGTGTCTAGGGAGTAACATGCCCAGGGAGCTCTTTTACATGCCCAGGGGGGCAGCAGGAGAGCCAGCCTCAAGCCAGAACTCAGTTTCTGCAATTTTCTGCTGCACAGTTCAGAGTTTAATGATGGCATGCTAATACACATACTGTGGTACTCAATGAAGATGACATATATACAGAACTGGGATGAGAAACATCCCTGAAAGAAACATGAGAGCACCAATACTACACTCTAAATGGGAATAAAGTACCATTAAATAGGTATTAAATACTTGGATGTAATCATACATATACTACTAACCCGACATTCAGCGCAACACTGATTAAGCAACAACATTACAGCGTCCTGAGCTCATGGTTGTGGATTTGTCCCAGAAAAGCACAGCAGGTAGAATGTCCACAAATTAATAACCAAGTATTAAAAGAAGAAATATAGCACAGCTGAACAGGGGGCTAAAAAAGACAATATGAATGATAGAGGCCTTGTTTATGTGCCTATTAAACTGAATATCTAGGTTAACCTTTCACCCTGCAAAATATTAATTAAACCTAATTGCTGTGGGAATAGCGTGCATCGTCACAGGGCCAGAATTTTAATTGACACAGCAACACAAAAGCATCTGAGCTGTGGAAGAAAGCCCCAGAGGATTTTTTTCCAAAACGACAGACAGAAATCCAGGGGCAGCCTGATTTGCTGGCTCTAAGGAAAGGCCAGTCTCAATTTCAAAAGGGAACAAGCTTTTGTTTAACAAAGGACTGCTCTGCTTCAGCCTAGAATGTGGATTAAACCGCAAAAATGTCATTAAAAATTTAAAACTGATTAAATCTGTATTGCTCTCAGAAGTAAATATGGTGTTAAACAGGCCACAAAAAACCTAGCACCACATACTGGTTTGCTACGAAACAAGTGTGTGCATAGATGAGACTCAATCCTGTGGACGACACCAACGATCACCTGCAGGAAAATACTGTACACTATTCACCCACAAGGCTGTGCTCTTCACACTACAACATAGTAGTCACATGACACCACCACTATTATACACTGCATCTTCACAATGGCCTGAGATTATCTGCTTAACAACTGAATTAGAGACCAGATGGCCATCGAAGAGACACACACACAGCCTACAGTATAAATTACTGATTGCATAAAGTGCGTAACTAAATAAAGGCAAGTGCTCTTCAGAGAAAAATGGTATAATGACAAACTGGCTTGGGAGTCCAGCTCCTAAGAGCCATGGTTATGGGAAGAGAAAAGGCCCCCAGGTCTGCTGATCATGTAATGAAATTGCATTGCCTGGGCTTCACAGTGATCAGCCCTTGTAAGAAAACATGCCTAAGACTGTCTGCATTAAATAAATATATTTATATTATTAACAAATGAAACGTGTATTCACGAGTGACTCTGGATGCATACAAATTCCATTATATAGTGTAATTCCACTACTACAGTTGCAGTTGCTTTATTGCATTTTTAATACACCTCCCCATTTATCAGTGTGTTAAAGACCGGATGGATTCATACATTTATTAAGAAATCCATCAATTGGACAGCCTTTTCACACACTGTGGAGAGAAAGCAGGGTAACTTCCCGAGACTCCCTAGTGAAAGGAAGGACATAATGCAGCTTCTTAGCACGATCAGCACACTGCAGTGACATCAGCAGTCTGGAGTGGAAAACCTCCAGCAGCACAAGCCTCCTGCAAGTTTTCGGTTTCATTAATGAAAAAAAAAAAAACCTAGAAACCTCGAAAAGCATCAGCTAATAAATTCCGGCTGGGCACCTATCCTGCTGAGAGATCCTCTCTGACGTTAAACGTCTGGAAGGTGTCGAGGCAAGTGCTCCATTACTCCATGAAACATGGAGCAGAGCGGCTCCTTTCAACTTTAATTTCCATTTCAATTACGGCTACAGCACTCCTGCTGCCTAATCCTCTAAGCCCCCCGGGCTCCTGGCTTTAGGATTCCTGTCCCGGGCAGTGCAGCGGGCACGAGGCTGGCACAGGCAGGTCTGGGCACCCCCTCCCCACCCTGCGGCCCCGCTTGCTGAAACAGGCCCAGCCCTCGCACCCCGTGAGACCCCCCTAATCAAGGGGAAGGTCAGACAGAACTCGCACATGCCAGGCAGGAAGCACAGCGGAGCTAATCCAGTGCGGCATGGAATAATTTCATGCCACTCTGGATTGGCCTAACAAACCGCAGAGAAGGGAGGAGTGGGTGTGGAGTGATGTGATGAGGCTATTCCTTGGAAAACGACGATTTTTTGTAGACGTTTTTCTAAACGGGACCTTCTAAAAATAGGTTTATAGCCCCACTCTCACGAATAGTAGCAGGGGATCTGCACTGACCCAGCTTTTAGGACCCTAGTTTATGACACCTCCTACGGCACAAAGTCTCCAGTCACCATACAGGTTTAGGAAATTCTTTCC